AAAAAAAAATTTTTTTTTTTTTTTTTTTTTTTTTTGACTTCAAATCAAGTGATTATATACAATATATACATAAACATGGTATAATATTATATTATGTTATGCTTTATAAAACAGCCATAGAAATTACCAATTGAAAAAAAAAAACTAAAATAAAAGGAAAACGATAAAAATTGACTTTGTTTTGGCTTGCATTGTTTTGTTTCGCATTGATTTCAATTCWATTCAATGGGCATATTAGCATATTGTACACGAGGGTATTCAGTGTTCGGCATTGCTTTCGTCACACACACTCTTGTTCCACTCAAGTTGGCCGCTCACTTGGTCGTCGTGTAAACGATTCTTGACATCGAGCTTGGATCACGAGTTCTGCGAGGGGCTAACCGTGTTGAGGTGGGTATACGGAAATTTGGAAACTCGAGAGCTTCCGCTCACTTCCTCGACGCCCAATTGCTATAGACTATATTTGAGATGGGCTTTATTTGATATTTGCATCGAGTAGCGTTTGCTTTGATTGTTTTCAAATTGCATTGCTGTTATTCCAGTTATGTGAGAAAGTGGTTTCGTAACATCGGCAATCCAGATCAGAGTTCCGATCTCATATCCGCTTCTCCAGTTAGACGTTGGATTAGCAGCGCTGTGGAGTGGCAAGTGTGAATGGGGGGAGGGAGTTGGGCTTGCGGCTCGTAAATCAATGCCAAGTTTAAGGCCTTACGATCAGCTCCTCGAGCACTGAAAAAAACAATTTAAGCGCTTGTATGCTAATGAGGTGCTCATCATTTTTTAATATGAGTAGCCGCACCAACGCCGCACCGCCGCACCACCGCAACACGTCGTAAACAAACATTGATCTTTGATAAGTGGCGGCTCATAGGTGAAAGGTGCGATCGACAATCAAATCGGATAAAGACGTCTTCATCTTTTTCATTGTGGTTGCGGCTGCGGCTGCGGCTACGGCTGCGGCTGCTGCGACCTTCGACTCTTCATATGCAAATGTGCACCACCGAGAGATGAAGCGTTTTTGCAGTGGTTGGACAGACGGTATCTTTGATGGTCATGAACCTGTCATAATAAAGCAATCTCCGAGTTTAAGAGAGCTTTAAATGGCAAGTATCTTTTATTTTATTTAATAGCATTTATATATTTCGTATATCTATCCCTAAGATGGCTCACACACACATACGTTCGCATTCACACTCACACACTCACTCATACGCACTCACACACACTCAATCAGTCACAGAGCTGGTAAGACAGTCATTTGGCTCTGTGATGAAAAGTTAATTCAACTAAAATCGATGCTTATGAAATCTATTTGATATATATATGAATTGTTGTTGCTGTGGCTCGGTGGTGCTCAGCGCCTTTGTATTTGCGCGGTGCCGTAGGAGGTCAGGCCGGTGGTGTGCGGCACTGTGGCATAGGAGGCGCCCGCCTGGAGCGGCAAATTCGCCACATTCAACGGCATCAGGCCAAAGGGCACGGGCAGCTTCAGATTCAGCGAATTGCTGTCCGAATGGGTGGCTATGGCACGGCCCGTTGCTGCTGCTGGAGCCGGAGCAGGTGCAGGGGCCGGCGCTGTCAGTGGTGCAGCAATAGGGGCTGCATTACCACCGAAAACATAGCCCCGACTGGTGAGCACCTGTGTGAATGCCGCATGCTCCAGCGCTGGCTCCACAAACTGGCGTGCCACCTGCTGCTGCGCACGCTGCGGAGCACGTGGCACTGGATAGTGATAGGCGCCCAGCTGGGGGCTGGCGGAGATGGAGTAGTCCAGGTGCGACACATCCGCTCGCACCGCACTCGAGTGCAGCGCCAGGCCGAAGAACAGAAGCAGCACCACCACAGATTTCTGAAAGAATCCGTTAGAGATTAGATCACATGTCACAGACAGCTTTCACACATATGCACACACACACACTCACTTTATGAGACATTTTGAGTGGCGTTAATGGGATGTTTCACTTTTATTGCGCCTGAACACGAGTATTCAATAAATTTTTGAATGCGTTTCGTTTGCGGTTTCCGTTGTGGACGGGCGCAGCTTTTCGTACTGATTAAAATTTGTGCGCGAGCTGAAGATGCTTTTTATAGCTCGACTACTGAAACACGACGAGCCACAGCTGAGCTTCAGCTGAGTTCTGCCTGAGGACAGGTGGGCAGACGAACGAGGTGACCAGTCAAACATTCGCGATGACGACTCGACCAGTCCAAGAGCCAGCACTTGGCCAAGGAAGTGAGACCTGACAGGTAGATACCCTGTAATGTGCAGTTAGGCTGAAGTAGGTGATTAGGCGGGGTATCAGTAGCTGCTTCAACTAAGAGCTACCCTATATTTACTCCTCTGCCATATTCACGTCCGATTGAGTTTTATAGTTTGTAAGGTAGAAATGGGTCTTATTATAATTATTTAGTAATATAATATAAATAAAA